TTGTAATAAAAATTTTAACCTTAACCAAACTACTTAACTGAAAAATAAATTTACTACTAAGTCTATTGATTATTTATAGAAAATATTGAAAAATCAAAAAAGTAAATTTGCTGGGAACGTTATTTATTAAATATTTTTTTGAATTTTTATAAATTAAAAAAAAATAGAAATTTATTTATTTATTCATTTAACATTAGGGATCCTCGTAACATTATTAGTTTAAATATATTTAGTTACTTATTAGAAGTCTATTAAATGGTTTTTCTTGAACATTAACAGGATATATATGTATATTTTTAATTTTGTTAGATTTTTGTATAATTAAACTCATATTGCAATTTATTTTTTTTAATGCAGAAACAAAAACATTCATATAGAAATTCATTTCTTAATTTTTTTGCCAAATAATATAAATTTTGTAGTTCCAAAGAAAACCTAAGATTAGCGTCAGGTTTGTAATAAACTTTAATTGGACAATTTTTTGTTTTGTCTACAATTTTTTTTTTGTCTTATCGTATTAATAAACTTATACTGAAATTTATTTTTTTTAAATGCAGAAACAAAAACATTTATCTCAAAATTTATTTCTTAATTTTTTTATCGAATAATATAAATTGCTATAAATTTCTAGTTCTAGTTCCGAAGAAACCTAAAGTTGGCGTCAATTTTAATAAAATTTAATTAGACAAATTTAAGAATGTTGTATTGGACCTTCCGAAAATAGTACAATGTACATCATTTAAGATAAATCTTACATTAAAAAATAATGTGATTATTTGTTAATGTGATTTAGGAAAAAATAGTGGTATAATAAATTTATTTTGTACATTATTTCTTTCTTGATATTTTTAGTGATGGAAAAAAAATACTGGGATTTTTGTTACTGATTCTGTGTTAAAAAAAAAGTACAAAAAATTGAAAATTCAAAAGTCTTGAGGTTTTGGCACCATTGTCCTGCTTGTTGCTGTCCAATCTGTCCTCTGCCGTTGAAATGAAAAATAATATAAATTATATCCTTATTTATTTAATTTTTTTGTTTTTTTTAAAGGAAAAACAGTAGAAGCAAAAAAACAAAAAAAGTATAATAAAAAGGTGCTTTTACTTTTTTGGAAGTTTAATCAACTCTAAACTCATGCGAGATTTCTAAACAGCTGCTCAATAATGGTTATAAATATATAAAACATGCTGATTATTTACTTTGTAAAAGAACAAGAAATAAGAAAGACAAACAAATAACATTGATACCAAAATGGAACACGCTAAGGAAATGGCATTGTTGCAACATATTGCGGATTGTGTGCAGTTGATTATAAGAGTGTACTCTTGACGAATTGGGTTATGGTTGTTGTCTACAGACTGAGCCATCGGGCACGATGCATAATGTTAGCTACTCATGCTGCCGATAATGTCCCTCTCTGTGTACGAATCCTTTCATACCATTTTCATTTGTTCAAACATATCATGTTAATGTATTAGTAAGAGGCAGTTCGAAAATCGACTCCCGTCCTAACTTGTACTTCCTCTCTCATAGTTACTTGTTTGATAGGTGTGTCTGTCATTTTTTTATGTTTATAATTTTTTTTTTCTCTTCTAACAAAGGTAAGAAATCATATAGGTTGTTTTAATAGTTTGTTTAGTGTGAAAACCAAGAGAAACTTTTCATTTGTTCTTGAAACGCTGAAATAGACAATTAAAAAAAAAAATTATCTGGACTGCCACAGCTACGTTTCTGATAAACCAAGACGCTAATCTATTAGAAATTCAATTTATAGCAAACAGACTAGAATCCAAAGGATTGCACCAATACCTTTCTTTCCAAATTCTTTTTAACCCCAAAAAAATAGTAGAGAATATGTTAGCACTGTAATATGTTTTTTATTTTTTTTTATTTTTTTTTTGCCTAAAATAATGTCATTTTCTACTTTGATATGTTGTTACAGAGCTTATTTAATATTCATTACCTAATATTATAAATAAAATGCCTTAAAAAAAAAAATGATTGAGGATCAAAAGCCACGTTTTATATGCGTTTCACAGAAAAACCGCCTAAACAATTTATATCCAACTTCATTTATGTATATATTGTTATTATTAAATTATATTGTATAAATATTGTTACTTAGAGCCGTGTTGATTTATCAAAATTTAGCTTTTATCGTCAGTCTTGAGACAAATGGCGGACTTGATAAAATTTAGTGTTATTTATTAAAAAGTGCAAATAAAATTAAAGGTGTGTCCTTAAATAGTTACAACCTCCCTTCATCTGCCAAAACCAGTCATCGACTGAAATAGAATTCGTTAGGGAGAATAGGTATAAACAAACAACCAGTTTGTGGTTTTAGACTTTGTAGACTTCAGGCTTGCCAAGATAGATGAGATTCTGAACTGACTATTCTGTACTACATGTAATTAAATAGCGATACTGAACCCTGAACATTGCTGAAATCCAACCGTTGTCTGAACTATCGATGTTCAGAATTCATTTGAATTCTGCTTCGGTGTTTGCGCGGTCTTCTGACACTTCGAGATCCAGTCCGAAATCAGTATCGGGCCTGTCTGAGGAAGCCTGCAGTAATTTTACTTTGGATTCCGTCTAAAATAATGTAAGTTGCTGATACGTCCATATCCAGAATTAGCGGATCCAACAGTTTGTTCTCAATTATACTGGGAGACAGAGACCCGACATATATAAACAAGAAATTTTTCAATAAAACTACGCTTAAAAACTTTTAACCTACTTCTTTTCATGTAGAATTTATTATTATTAAGAATGAATATTTAACGTCTACAAATGATGACTAATAAATTTAAGAATGACCATATTCAAAAACAGTTCAAGTAGAATTAGTAGTTCATATATAGTTACTCTTTCTGTTCCATGTTTTCCCTTGTTCTCTGATTTGAAAATTTTCCTAATTGTAACCCCACAAAAATGTGTCCCTCTTCAAAACTCAAAACTCCGTAAAAATGTACCCCACTCAATAATTTTGATGGCGCATGCACCATGCCATTCACCCCTCCTGGGCACCTCTGCATTCAAGTTATAGTTTACTTAATAAATCAGTAATTATCTAGACCGACTGAAAAATATTCCTTCAGTGAAAAAGTTTAGTAATTAAGAATCAGCTTTCTATAAACTTATACTAACACTTTATTGTACTCATTGGACATATCGGATTGTTTGCATTTAGAATCCATGTACTAATACGACTTATTAATAAGTAACGACATTAATATGTGTCCACAAAACGTGTTTATTTTCGTTAAGAATCTTCTAAATTATCGGAGACGTCCTCTAATCGAATTCAGGACTATTCTTCTTAAGCTACCGTTTCAATAGATTTTTACGTATAATGGAATTCAATAATTTATGGTTTACAGACCTAAACGATTTGTGGTATGTGTCCAACGATAACTACAAAACTATACACTACCTTTTTAAATATTTCTTGTAATTAACCAGAAACCCTGTAAATATATTTTTTTTTTAGAACTGGAATTTTTTTATTATATTGTCGTATCAGATACTTCATGTTGGACATTGTTAGTAAAACTAATTTATGATGTTTTTGTTGTTTATTATTGATTGGTTGGTCATTGTCTATCTGGCAGAGAGGAAGAAGTTTAAAAGACGGTGAATCGATTTTCGAATAATGTTCGCGAATGAGTGTTAAATGTTTATGTAGAAGAGCATGATAGTGCCCACGGCTAGCGTGGCTCATCTTCACATCCCGGCGTACCCACTTACCATTGTGACGTCATCGATTTTCGAGATACTCCGTACGAATATGTTGACTCTGACAACCGCCGGGCCATCTTGCCGGGAGGAAAAAAAAAAAGAAAAAAAGAATAAGAAATGAAAACCATTAAGTCATATTATTCTTCGTCATATGGAGGACTATAATAGACTTAAAAATAAAAAAAAATTATCATGTTCTTTGTTAATTGGCATAACAGATAAAAATGTTATTGGTTAGTTGTGCTCATGAAAAATTGAGCAAAAAGCTTGTAAGTGCAATATATGAAGCGCGCTTGAAAGAACTATGAAACATGTACATATTTTTATTGTATGAAAGCACCAATATTATTATAAAAGCAATTACAAGACAGGACATATAGAAAGCGTGTTTCTGTGTCTTATTAAGAAATATAGGTTTTTATTTATCTGTTATTTAAGGGCGAATGTCTATTTTCTATTTGCAATATCGGTCATGCACTTGGAAAGCTAAGTGCAGCAAAGCCGCTATAAGCTGGAGCTTGGCGCTTGGACTTTTTTTTTGACTCGTAAGTCCTACTAAGAGCGTCCAGTGCTCCTCAGTTTAGTCGGTTTGTTCCTTTGACAGTCGACTAAAATGCTCTTATTCGTTTTTCTATTATAATGAAAATTCGCCTGCATTTGTGGTTATACTACGCAATGCGCCACTACAAGTGTCTCTATCAGTTTTGATCTGTGTTGTACCTGCGAAATCTGGTGCAAAACCTAATTTTCTAGGCTATTACCGCTATACTCATACATACGTCTCAATTTCAACAACTGAAAACTTTGTACAGAAGTATTCTGGATTAATCAATTGTTGAAAAGAACGCTGACGCGATGCAAGTTGTAAAGAAAACAAATCTTTAGCTCATCTCATGTCTACTTTAAATTAAAATAAAAAGTAAAATAAAAGTAAAGAACTATATTGCTTATGCCAAAAAAAAAACTCATTCCTTTTAAGATGCATTTGGGCAGCTTTCAAAAATTCTTAACTGACCTTCAATTACTTTTTGTAATTATTTGTTGACGGTTCGGGGTGTAATTTTAAGATGTATGTATAAAAAAGTAAAACAAAATAAAATGTGATTGTTGAACCACCGAACTTCTCATGACAGTAGTTGAGCTAATCTATTAAGTTAGTTCAAGGTGGTTAATTGAAACAAAAAATAAAAATAAACATAATTGAAAAACCAAACCGTTAAGCTGGATTAGTTATTGAATTTTCTTAAACCAGTTGGCTTACCATTTTGATGTCACTTATTGTAGCAATGCTTCTAACGAAGAGGTTAACACGAACGATGGCTGGACCATCTGGTGACACGAACAAATTTACATTTTTTAAAACTGAGTTTATTTTCCAGACCTCCCGCCCTAACTGGTTATATTTTGTTATAGGAAATAAAATAGTTTTTAAATATATAGCGTTTGTCAGTGATGCGTGAGGCAGTGAATGTTCGCGGTGCGCAGAAAGTGCACAAAATTTAACTTAAAATAAACATTATAAAATAAACGGTGCTAGTAAAAGCAGGTGAATGGCGTCAATTATAGCATTGATTACCCTAAGCGGCAATTTTTGGCATATTTTTTCTTTTAGATGTTTCCTATTTCCTTGTTGGTCTGTTCGATTTTACTTGTATGATTTGCGGAATAGTATACATGAGCCGCCTGCAAGGATGGTTAGTTACTTTAGGACGACACTCAGGAATATTACGCCGCATAACAGTCAAGTAACATTGGACAGATTGTCTATAAATATGAAACACCAAAAGTGCTTTTGAGAAAATGCCTCAAATAAGAGAAAACTAGGATGTTTCATAAAGGCTTTTCATGTATGATACAAACTCAGTTAGTCAGTTGGCATGGCATAGTTTACAAATGATTTTGGCATTCATGCTTCTTTTTTTTTCTAATATTCTATTTAATAGTTCCACCATAAAGAATGTTATTCGAAATCCATTACACTTATTTTATGCACACAACGTTTCATTACTTCAAAGTTTTTTAAAAAATTTTTTCTGATTAGGATTAAGGAAAAAAATATTTAAGAAAGCTTTTTTTATTACTACTAAAAATATGTAAAATTTAAACAGATATATCTTCACTTGAAATCTACCCATTTATCAAGTTGAGAATAAATGCTACCATTTTTTTTTTTTTTTTAAGGGAAACACTTGTCTCAATTGCGAAAAGGCATTAGTAGACACAAATGCCTTTTCGCAATTGAGTCCGAGGATCCAATAATTTTTTGCGAAAGAGGCTTTAGGAGTCCATTCCAGCTCTCTAATGAAAAGAATATGATTGTGATATCGACGGAGCCCTAAATCCTCTCCATGGAATTAATGAGTCTTTTTTTTCTTCCATTATTTTCGATTTATGTTATTCCTTATTTTTAACTGTTTTTGTTGTTTTTATTTCTGTAGGCTTTTCACTCTTTTACAATATTGTTTTTTCTAGCCTATTCTTACAAGTATCTTGCAACCTGTAGGCCTCTCCTAATTAAGAGGGTAAAGGTCTAACTTCCCACGGGGACCATGCGTAGTGGGAATTAGAGCCGGGATTCGCTCTTTTACAATATTGACGTTTTAATGATCATATATCGGTCATTAAAATGAAATATTATTGCTTGTTAATTATTAAAAATTATAACAATTACTTATTTCGTAGGTAGATGAAGCGAATTCAAGAAGAACTGATAGACATTATTATATTGTAATCAGATATTAAATCCTCTCATGTTATAAGATACATAATTCTAGGTCAGTATTATGTTTTTTTTGGAAAGAGAAGATAATACTTGCGTTAGCCCGCAATAATAATAGTCTCGGCTAAAATATGTGCTGGTAAAAATCCTCGTGGATTGTCCTTGCAAGGAAGTAACTGGAACAAAGTTTTCGTAGTGAACAAATATGTGTGATTCAATCGGTACCGAAAATTTTATAAGCTTAAATTTAAAGAGGACTTAGGACGTGTGGATCAATTGGAAGATTTTTTTTTGGAAAAGTTTATAGATTTGATTTAAATTATCCTCTGACTAGGTTTGAGGCTTTATCTTAGTATGCTTGGATTAGTAAACCATTACGATAACAAAACTATTGTCATACTAAAATACACTGACAGGCAAAAAATTCCACCCACTTGATTTTTTCATGTTTTCATCTAAAAATATTTCTGCTTTGGATTGGTCTATTGTTTTTAATGAATAAATTGGTAATCTTTTTGTTTGTTTTCAATTAGGAATGTTAATAAAGAGGACAATAAGCCTTAATCCTTAAATCAATGAAATGATTCTAGATTCCAATATTTCCAAGATTCCAAAACGAACCATTATTATTCTAAAAGAAATTAATTACATCATCGTTTAGTAGTGCGTGTTTCCTCCTCTTGCCTTCACTACTTCTTGAAGACGCCTCGACATACTTTCCACCAGTCGGGAAACGTCCCTTTGCTGGAGGATAGCCCATTCCTCTCGAAGAGCCCTTTCAAGGTCCTGCAGTGTATCAGGAAGTATTGCACGCGCTCTTATTCGTCTTCCGAGGTTATCCCATAAATGCTCAATGGGGTTCAAATCTGAAGAACGTGCTGGCCAAGCTAAAACCTCAATATTGTTCTGTTGAAGGAGTGGCTGTGTTCTCCAGCAAAAGCCAGCCGTGTTACCGTGTGAGTTCTGGTCAACTCTGGTCCTGTTACTGGACGAAAATCCATTAATCCATACTCATTTAATCTTCTCCGAGCGGTACGTTCAGAAATTTGCACACCTCGAACTTCTTCGAGCTGATGAATCGCTTGAACAACGGTAAGGTGCCGGTTTCGTAAAATTCTCAAAGTCAAAAACCGGTCATCCCGTGGTTCTGTTACCCTAGGCCGTCCAGAACCGGGCCTTCTATTGTAAGAACCAGTTTCCCGAAAACTGCTGACGGCGTCTCGTAAAGTTTCACATGGAACTCCGATGGCATTAGCTGCATATCTAATGGAAATTCCATCATCAATAAGTGCCACACCACGCGCAACATCCTCAGCACTAAGAGGCATTTTTAAACTTAAGATTGAAAATATAAAAAACCGGAGACTAAGAAATGTGCTGCAAGAAATGGCACTGAACTAATGATACTGAATAAACATTTTGATTCCATAGAAAGTAAACATTGGAATCTAGAATCATTTCATTGAATTAAGGGTTAATGTCCTCTATATTAACATTCCTGATTGAAAACAAACAAAAAGATTACCTATTTATTCATTAAAAACAATAGACCAATCCAAAGCAGAAATATTTTTAGATGAAAACATGAAAAAATCAAGCGGGTAGAATTTTTTGCCAGTCAGTGTATAATATAATTTGGAATTCACGAAAGTTGGTTATGATAATTTTTATTTTTAATATAGGAAATTTTGGCGTTCATTTAGAAAATGTTGACGGAGAGTTCTAAAGAGAAATAACTTTATAGGGGGCGACAAGACAGTAATAAGGAAACTTTAAAACATAAAAAGTTAGTTGCAGAAGCTATCCTCTTTAGATATTTTTTTCTCTTTTAATTTGAAAAGTTTTCCAGAAATAAGCCAGTAGCTTAAAGAGAGCATAACTCTCCATTTGACATTCTTATTTAACTATAATATTTTGGGTTAATTTAAATTTTTGTCGTATACAAAACATACCGTAAAATGGCGGAGAGGGGGTAAATTTGGGACTGGTCGGGTAATTTAGGGGCAGCGGGTAAAATTTAGTTTGTGGTGATTCCGTAGTGGATACACTGTGCTGGTTCAGTCTTCAAAAACGTACTTTGTGTAGGCATATACTGCGCTACTACCTTACAGCAGTTCGAGAACCCTTGTTCACTGCTCTCGCTGTGCAGTTAGGTTTTATTTATTTCCATTGCTTTTTTAAAAATTCTTGTTTTCATGAAACTTTCGCTTCTGCCTCAAGATAGTAGTGCGCCGCGAGGTAGTAGCGCAGTACGTGCATACACAAAGTACTTTTTTCGCAGACTGAACCAACATAGTGTATCCATCACGGAAACACCACAAACTAAATTTTACCCGCTGTCTTAAAGTTACGCCATCTTACAGTAGCGTATAAGCTATGACATAAATCATGATTTTAATTATTCAAATAATGATGTCGGTATAGGTTTATAAGTATTATACATATAAGTATTTAACGTCCAATATATAACTGCCTATTATTTATACAATACCGGTTTTGCGTATATACTATGCAAAATTAATAAAAGAAAACCGGGAGTGTGGGTATATGAGTATATGATTATTGTTTAAATAAATACACGAGGACTTAGCGAACGCGGAGGTTTGGTGTTAGCTAGCACATTTCTATTCAAAAAAGAGCATCCTAACCCAAGTTTTTAATACAGGGTCAAATACAATCCTCCCATCTATATTTCGGTTGAACCCTAGGAAGCCAGCCTGTCGGATTAATACCCAGAATAGTTCTGTATTTCGCACGTTTTGCATTGCAAAAATTTTACATATGCGATACCAAATGCTCAATTATATTTACTGAGACGGGTCACGCAATTCGGTGTAGTCTAGCCTTTTAAATTCTAGTTCAACAGATCTTTCTTCAATCTCTATATTTTACGCAACACTTTATTTCAAAAACTTTACGAGGTCGCCCATTCATCAATGTAAGCTGCAAAGTTTCGTATCTGTTAATTATAGAATAATTTGTAAGTTTTAAATTTCCAAATGTTTTCAGGAAGAAGTCACGAGTTAAGTATTTTTACAATCATTGACCAACTTTCGCATTTCATTTGTTTTTTCTCGACGCTCACACTATCTAGTTATTTTAGTGCTCGATATTTCAAATTCCTGCAAGTATCCTTCTCTTTATTTTCTACACCAAAGCTTCCGAAGACTTCTCTATCTTGTACAATCAGTGATAGCAGATATTTTTGTCACGACAGCCGGACTCGAGGAGTTTCAGAACAGTGTTCTGAGAATATAGTGAAGAATACCTCATGCAAAAAATAACTGATATCATAAGACCCTTGAACTACCGACAGTGACAGATAGTATTGAACGGTGGCAAATCATCGACAATAGGCGACGAATCCATTTTCCTGGACTCTGATCCCAACAGAGAGGTCCCTAAGATATGTAAATAATATCTCCAGGACGGTGTATGGAGACATGCCAAAAATATTGCTAATACAGTCAATCTATGGAACAAGGAGAACAGGGTGAGCAAACCTGAAGTGGTCAGATGGTATAGCAGGGGATGCTCGTGACATCCAGGGAGATAGGAAATACATGGCGTCGGAACAAGAATGTGACGATTGGAGGAGGCCAAAACCTGT